TTTCATTTTGTTATGTAATCGTTCGACGCAAACACGGATAAGACATCTTGTTCGAGCGTTGAAGCGAAATTATGAATCAGCGATCGACGTTTCATACGTTCTCGATATCAAGGGAAGTCTTACTCAGGCGTCTCGTTATTGTTTGTTTCATCGATGCAGTTTTAGTTTTATGTTTTATTTACGCGGTACGGGGGAAACTGATTACATTATCGTTGATAAACATCAACGATTGCTATCAACGTTGGTTGCCGTCGTGAATCAACAAATAACTTGTTTATTTTTATTTAACGTTGTGAGTTACCTTGAGAACAATCAACTTAAAAAAAAATTGGTTATGGAACGAGATAAATGGAGATATTTGCATTTTTAATTATTGGATTTCAATTTTCATGAATAGTTATTTAGGTTTTAGTGAAAATAAATAAGGCGGATCATAGATTGCGTGTTTGTAAGTTTACAATTTCATTATCCTCAAGATTCTTTATTTGAACTATTTTGAGAATATTGATGAATTATAACTATATGAACATGTGATTAATTTAGTTTTTGTTTGATGAATGTTATATCATTAGAATAGCAAACATTATTAATATAATTTGACTATTGTATTCTATCTTAATAATATAACAAAATCATAAATCATGTTCATCATGTTCAATAATATAACAAAATCATAAATCAAATAATATATGTTATAATAAATTCTGTCATTAAAACTCAAAGTAATGTACAGACGGTAAATTCAACCGTGAAAAACCGGCAACACTGTAAACATACTTGTTACCTTGTGGAACAATAGACCATAGATAAACAACGTTCAGTTGCAAACAATTAGTATCTGCAAAGCAATAGAGCGAAACGCATGTGGGAATCCCATCGTTGTAATAGCGTTATTGAAAGTGTAAATGAGTATTCGTCATATTTATAAGTGGAAATGAGTATTTTTCAAAGCCATTAAAAAGAATAAAGTTGGACTGCTTTTAATCCGTTTATTAATCAATAAAGATTCCAATCTGAGTTATAAAACGAAATTTCACACTAAATGAACAACAAGTGTTTATTCGGTAAAGCAGTTGTTCAGATAAATTAAATTGTTAAATTTCAATATTTACTCAACAAGCAATGAAATGAAAGTTATTTAAAATTAGGTTTACATACATTAAGTTAAAGGTCCTTAGGTTAGCATGGTCATGTTGAATATAAATTTATTTTTGTGTAATTATATGTCTTCTAATTAATTCTACTAAATCGACCTCATCCATGAAAGCATTACTTCAATGACACAAATCTGATAAGAAATCTCTGTAAACCCAGTGTTAATTTTTAATGCTTCGATATTTTTATCTATGTACGATTTCGGGCCATCTCTGTATTAAACAAGCCGTACGTAAAAGAATTTACCGTAATTCATTACGCAAACAGATGATCACTGCACGCGAACATTCCAGCACGCAATGTTTTGCGGTATAATTCGTCAGGCCTCAAGAACGGTCGTTATCGTGTTTATATTGGTCATTTGTTGACAGAAATATGAAAATAATAAGATAAGAAAAGTTCGAAGACAAAACAATTCTGCCTGGTTTACGGAAGTAACCAATTTTACGATGCCAAGTTAAAGCGTGAGCAAAAATATAACTGCGAATTCAGAAACTGGTAAATGGAAGTGGAATAAAAATGCGAATTCAGAAACTGGTAAATGGAAGTGGAATAAAAATATTTTATCTATTTAAAGGGATGTTCTTTTTTTTTTTTTGGATCAAGAAATAGAGTTTACTGTTGTCGATATTCTTGTTGCTTAAGGACTTATTAGGCAGGAAATATTAGGCGTAGAAATGAATTCTGTTCCTTTATATTCAATCATTTATTACTCTAGTTTAAATAGAAATATTTAGTTGTCATTTTGTTATTATATATTAAATCACTAATCTTCTAGGTTCTCGACTTGGTCTTCATTACAATTAATCAATACATATATTGCATAACGTAAGTCTTAACCTGATGACCATTACAACGTATACATATATTGTATATATAATAACAAAAATATTCAAAGTATAATACAATATATTATAATATAATTATGAATATGAAGTATACATATATATTTTATAATTATTATTTACGAAGTTTAATGGTCATATATTTTTGCTTATTATACAAGTTTACTCGAGAATGATAACAATTGTAACAGAATAGCAATAACCAAATTTGATAGCTACTATGGTTCGTATAGATCCACTGCAATGGCCATTAGGTCGGGGACTTAGAAGGTTCGTAACTTTAATATATAAAAACGACAAGCAAGCATATCTGTTTAAACTAGAGTTACATATAAATTATTGAATACAGCAGCACAAAATTAATTTTTACACCCAATACATTGAAAGAAACAACAATCGAACTCGAAATAACTCGCGAAACATGATAATTCAATTTAAAGAGACAGATTATATCGATTGACGTCAGAAAAAGGAAAATAAATTTGAAATCGATTAAATTTTCTTCGCAATGTCGATTAAATTTATATTGGGTTGTCTGGAAAGTTCATGCCTATTTTTAAGAAAAATTCAAAGGCATATTTGAATTTTAATGTGTATTTATTGAATTATATATGTGTACCATTTTGTTCCACAATCTTTCCACCTGTTAAGGAATGTACACATGTTATTTGTTTTCAGCCATTACGATATATTTAGCCCTGTACCGCCTACTAAAACTCGGCATGGACTTTCCAGACAGCCTAATACATAATTGAGTCTACTAATGCTAGATGATAGCACCAATATGGAATAAGCTAGTGATAGCGATTGGGTGGACGACGAAGAGCACTCGCCTCATTAATCACAGAATTCCCAACGCGTCTTAACGCGTTAATTTTCACGGAACGAATGACAACATTGACAACCCTTCGATACGCCACTGGGTGGTTTAGGTTGGGGAAAGCCGCAAGCTCTCGTTATCTAAACATGCAAAGTACTGATAGAACTTATGACAAGTACATGTAGTGGAGTAGAACGTTCATCGTTTAATTGGTTTCCAACTAATTGATTACGATTGCGATTGGAAATTTAATTGCTCGCGACGATCATTGAATATATTGACTGTTATTCTCTAGTGACGCCACGAACGATTAATTCACTCGTCAATCGCCATTTGTCATACGCAATTAGCGGTTGATAGAAAGGGTTACACTTCCCAGCGATGGAAACGTAACGTCAAACAAACTTATAACTTAATAGCATAGAAACGTACTATTAACAATAAAAAGGAATACTAGCATTTGCATTCTTTGATAACAATTAATTTAATCGACAGATGGTTTAATTACTGCAGATCACCCAGTAAATATACTGTTGAAAATTTTGTGTTAAATTCAACACGAATCACATGTCTGAAAGGGTCCACCAATATTTTTGTGTTAATTTAATACATCATGCTTGTGCCAATCGATACCACAAGCTGTATGTTGAATATATTAACACAAAATATTGTTAACTTGAACAAACTGGTAATGTTAAATTTAACTTAAAACATGTGTTATATGTATCCATAAACTTAGTCATTCGATAAATAATAACACGAATATCTCGTTAAGAAAATAACACAAATATCCAGTAGCTTTCACGTCATTGTTATATTAATTACTGGCACCATTTTATTATTACAGAATTGCTATTAAACCTAATAACATGTGTAAAAGGTACACGAATTAAATGTTGCGAATAATATGTGGCATATGTTTTACGTTAAAGTAACGCGGATAATGTGTAATAAATTCACGACATGATGAATGTAAATTCTGAGAATTTAGTAGACGGTTATTTCGTGTCAATCTTCAGGTAACATAACTTTTTACTATTTTAATGCGAAACGTTCGTCGAGCTTTGAATTTTATAACATAATCAACACGAAACATTTATCCAATGAATTTTTTATACGCAGTAACACAAAATTTTCGACTGCGTAGTTAGAGGAAGACTCAGGTGTTTATGTGAAGCTGGCAGCTCAGTTCGTGGAAGCTCATAAGTAATTAAGAGTTTTGACTTCACTTTCGATAGTTCTATAGTTCCTGATCAATTAACCCTTTGCACTCGAGAGGTGAGTCCTAGTCACCACTAGGTTTCACGTAGCAAATCTACCAGTAACAATGTTTCTTTAGATTTCATTTCTTTGGAACTAGAAGTGTCAATAAAATAACATCTTCGGAGTAAATCGAAGCTTAAAATTCGTTCCAATACAGAATGTGGAATGTAGGATGCTAAGAAAGCATCTCGAGTTGCTGGTAGATACGAAAAAAAAGGCCTCGAGTGGAAAGGGTTAAACTAATGGTTCTATCAATTAGAACTATTGGATAATTTTTGTAAACAATTTCACGTGCGCGAATCTGTAGTAGGATCACTTACAGGATAAGCAGCTCGATTGAAATGAGTTCTGATAAATAGTTATAATTGTAGGAATGTGATATATAATATGAGGGTAAGTGTCTGAGTGTATCCGTGTATGCGGTGTGATTTGTTTCTATAATAATTCGGAGTTCAGTTCGGTCGAGACAGTTGTAAGAGTCAGACAATAAATAATTCGTTGTCAAACTGTAATACGTTTTAAAGTTATTAGATTCCTACATAATTGATAGAACTCTTCTAAACTATCTTTAGCACGCTAAAATATATCCAAGAACTCTTTCAGTTTTATCGGAACTCATCGTGATCGAACAGCAGATCGCCCTTATCGGTCTCTAAGCACGAAAACGTGTCAAGAGAAAAAGAAAAGCAGTTTCTACATATAGAGAATCAGACGCGCCAAAGGAACACTGCAGAGGAAATCTCCGCAACGGGGTTGTGGTGCAGCGACTGCGGCACCGTGTTTCTAAAGATTAAACACGCTCGTTGTATTACACGTCACGTAATGGTCGAGCACGGTTCTAGACCCGCGAACGATACACGTCCGAAAAAGCTCCGACTTCACACTTTCACACGTGCGCCTTTTTAAAACTGTTCCAGCCTGTCCCGGTGAACAGCGAAAGCTCCTGGTCTTGCTAAATCCGAAGTCGGGACCCGGAAGGGGCCGCGAAACGTTCCAGAAGAGGATCCATCCGATTCTATCGGAAGCGGAGCGGCCTTACGAGGTTCACATCACCAAGTGTTCCAATTACGCTCGCGAGTTTGTGCGTACGAGGGACATTTATCAATGGAGCGGTCTGCTGATGGTCGGGGGCGACGGTATCGTGTTCGAGGTAGTGAATGGGCTTTTTCAAAGGCCCGATTGGGAAAAGGCTCTCAGGGAATTGCCCCTCGGCGTGATACCGTGCGGCTCCGGGAACGGGTTGGCGAAATCCATCGCGTACGCCAAACAGTAAGTTACTTTTATGTTCGATTCGCCACGATGATTTATTTCGTGTCTTGGCACTCGCCAACGTCGAGGAAGTCGTTACTTTGCTCGACAACTGGTTGAAATCACATCCGAATTCGAGCATTTACATAAGGGACCATTTGTACAGGTCGCGCGTTGTCAATAAAAATTATTTACACCACATAAAACACCCTTTTTAGCAAATACCTTTTGTACAAATATTTTCTTGATAGCTTCATCCCCTCGCGAGATATTCAACCTTTTCGCTTTGAACAAAACAACTTGTATGTTGAAACCTCTACTCGAAGACAATCTTTTATACGGGATGTTCAAAAAAAAAAGCATTCAATATTTATATGGTATATAGGGCACACTGTACCGAGTAAAACCGTTTCTGAGATATAAACATTTTTGTTTGCTAGTATCATGATTGACTTACTACTGGGTTTTCGATATTTATAGTAGATTTTCCACGTGTTCACGGCTCATTTCTGTACACGAAATTGAAAAAATGAAATTGACGAAGTTGTCGGCACTTGAATGGGAACATTCAGAACGTAATTTATAAACACTGACATAAACACCGCATGCGATGGAAGCAAGTAAGTCAATCATGATACTAGCAAACAAAAATGTTCCCCCACTAAAATGTTCCCCACATTTCAACTGTATCTGAAACATTTTTCGGTATGCATGATGATATTAACGTACACCGAAGTGGTAATATCAGGTGGACCACCCTGTATACATAATATTGGACTTTGATGAATATTGGTTCGTTGTGCCGAATACCATAGCAGTGCAAAGGGTTAATTATTCAAATGCGCGCGATAAAAGATCGTTTAAGATTCATCGCTACTGTCAATTTATCATATAGATTGGTATAAATTTCGTGATTGGTATCTTGTGATCTCCATGCGCAGCTTCACTGTAAATATTTCGTACGTCACTTGGTTCGAATAACGTTATAGTGTAGTCTTGAATCAACATTGAAGAATGATTCAATTCAGGGGGTCGAAATAATTACAGAATTGTATCGCTAGTTTTCATTGAACCGATTGAAATGGGAAACTTACGATAACAGTTATGTTCCAATAGGAATGGATGAATAATAATTCTTTGAATAATTGTTTCAAGAAATAAAGATAACAGAAATAACGATATCGAAGAAATTCATTCTGTTAATGCTTCTTCGAATTTTACAAAAATTAATGTCTTTAAAGTACTTGTAAATTATCGTGAAACTCAAATAGAAAATTAAACCATTGGATGAAAATATGATTATATACCAATAATATTTTATTGTTATATTTAATAATATTTATTAGTACAATAATATGAAGACATAAATTTCATAGATTTTAAATCATACATTTAAATCAATTTTAAATTTGTAATATCGTTGAAGAAGGTTATAGTATAAATTACAGTTTACTTTATTCATCTGAACGTCAAACCTGAAAAATAACATGATATTTAAATTAATCTTAATACCAATGACTTATTGCCAAATATAACATTTCTTCTATTTATAATGCAGCATTAAAAATCACACGATACTCGAATAAATTTAAACATCAATAAAAAGAAATAATTATCTGAACGTAAATGGATTAACAAAAAGCCATTTCACTATTTACATATAAAACTGTTAAGTTTTGTTTATCTCTAATAGTATCAAGAGCAAATAAAAATAAACAATTCCAAAATTAATTTGCCAAATACTTATCCTAAATATCTGATACTAATTATTTAATGATTCATCGTCCTCTAATAAATGATTTTCCTTCCTGTAGCAACATGATTACTTGATCACCTAACGATCACGAGCTCCAATTACTTTCGACTATCGAGGGTTTGCCGCACACGCGATATAGTTTCCTCATAAGCGTTCGCGGGCACTTAAATTTCATTGCTCTGGAGCAACGATATGTGTCCGTATAACTGCGCGTGTTGTAAATTTTCCAGTCAACAAACTCCCAGTCTGTCGGCGACTAGTTTAACAACAGTATGGCCGCGACGTAATTTCATATTCCAAACGAGTTACTCCAAACTCGCTCGACTGCCACGAGCAGACGATAAATCGACCCATTCGACTAATAGCAAAGCTGTCCGATTAGTCGAAATTCAAGCCGCGGGAAACTCGCCTTATTGACTCCGAGACAACTAAGACAAGTACCTTACTCGATTGGTCGAGTAATTGACAGTAGCATTTCGATTAATTCGATCGTTTCTCTTTGTATTTTCCCTTTGAAAATTCAAATTTATTTTTATTTTATTTGGCCTGGCTAAGTGAACGGTATTCTCTGGTAATATCGAGTAATTATTGAATGTTAATTAATGTTTATTACATGGTAATAATGAAGAGAAAATGAGGGCTCGGCTTAGGTATCCAAAAAATGTTTAAAAATTATACATAAGGGGGAATACTAATAAATTTTTAATGAATGTGAAATAATAAATATAAGAAAAAATGCTACAATATTTATGGATATTTGTTGTCATATATATTCGTACTGTTTGTATTTTCAAGAGTTATTTTATTGTAATTTTATAAAGGATTTATTCATTTTAATGTTTATAAATTTTGATTATTTTTATTCATATTGAATGTCTGCACTTTATTGTTTTCTGAGACATCATTTTCTCTTATATAAAACATAATAATTTTTATAATATTACTTCTTATATTTTTTATAGTTTGTTTATGTTTAACTTATGCGTTAGTATTACTCGTATGTACTTTATTTGGGAGGTTCTTTGTTTCAAATGTGTACTTTAATAGTATATTTAATAATAATATAATAGTTTAATAGTAACAGTCTAATTATTATTTGGAAGTATCTCATTTCAGTTGAAGTGATTAGTATTTCAAATGAATATTTCAGTACTAAATTGCAAATCTATTATATAACATTACAATATTATATACTATGAACAATACGTATATATATTTAAACTTGATACATTTTATTAAATAGTATAAACGAATTAAAAATAAATTTTGTAATATATTTGACACGAACACGTTTTTATGACTTAAGATATGATAATCAGTAATAATAGGAAAGTTACACAACTATGTTATAGAGATGGGTTTTAAGTTTCCTTTTGAAAAAATGAGTCAGAACTATCAATAGAACACTATCTTGTATTTTTTAAATACTATGTTTTTCTGTGTGTCTAACGAATGGAAAACTTGAAAGCAAAAGTACGTAGGATGCATTACTGTGCGCGTATGAACCTTTATATTTTGAATACTATTGAATATTTATATTTAAAGTAAACTATATAATATTTCCTCATAATCCTATTTTGTTTTATACTCTTCCTGCCTAATTTTCGATACTATTGAATATTTATACTTAAACTAAACAAAATACTATTTTCTCATAATTCTATCGTATTTTACAATTTTCCTATATTCTTTTTTACATTAATAGCTTCAAATCTAATTCGAATTTTCCCTATTTTATTTATCGTACATGCATACTCGTTCACTGATTATGTCTCAAATCAGAGGATAGTATCTCAATCAGAATCGTGTTTTCAATTATGCAAGTCCTCGTTTACCTATGGACGTTAAATTATTCGTCGCCACGTACGTACTTTTGCATAAATATAGCGACAGGACACAACACAGGAAGACTCATCATTTCATCTCCTATCCACTCTTAATATTCCTCATCACCATTAATTTGTCGATGAAGGCATAACAAGCACGCACACGAGCACCGGTTCTGCGCGCACTTTGCTGCAAAAATCAAAGCATCAAACGCTCAAAACTATCTTTAATATTCATGCATTCCGATATTTTCCAAATGCATATATTTCAACAGCTCCATAAAATGATCTATTCGTTAATTAGATAGCAAGTATTCATTTATCACGCATTTATTTGATATTTTTTTTTTTTTTTTTTTTTTTTTGCTGAAATCAAAATATCAAACCGTCAAAATTATATTTGATGCTTATATATTTCGATATTACTCAGAGTATGAATTTCAACAACCCTATAAAATTATCTATAGTAATCTATTTTCTATTGTAAAATTATCTATTCATCACTTAGCAAGTAGCAATCTATCGACGCATTTGTTATATTTTTTATTTTACATGTAAATTTAGAGTTCCACCGACTACTTGTTTCATAAATTGGCGTGTTTCAAACAAAGTAATAACTTTCCTGATATTTTCCATCAAAATTCAGAATTTGTTGTCGTTGGATTTTCTCCAAATATTGCTTTTTTTTTTATTTTGTAATGAAGAAGACAATATAATTTTTTAATATTTTTATTACCTTAGCCGTGTACTTCAATCATTCACATTATAATTTATACTATCACGAACCGATATCATCGTTTTCCCTATTCAAGATGTTTTTCATTTGTGCAGCTATAAATTCCTGTGAAAACATCCACACAACACTGATACATCCATACTTGAATAATCGTGTGTATTTTTCCGCTTGTTGGCTGGCTTCCGCTTGCCTCAAGAAGTCGCGAAAAATTTTGCAGTTTTACAAAGTTTCGCAGTAAAAATCGCAGTTACACATACACATAACTGTCTCGAAGAGAATAAGTATCATTCCGGGCTAGTATGTTCTCAACGCTGCACTAAAATCGTACATAAATGCTGCATTTATGTGTACGATACACCGTTAAATTAATCGACATACGATTTTACTTATCAAATAGCTGTTTGATGCTTTATTGTTATTATCATTGCAATATTGCATTTCAAATAATTTAATTCTAGTAAAACAAGACATAAAGGACCACGTTGGAAATAAATATTCCCTATATGCTTAGGAATTGAGAAGAATGGATATTTAATACTAAACTACCGAGGTCAATGCATTTTTGTCGTACATAGACCTGCATGTTTGTATTGAGCTGATTTCTAATCGAGTTGAAAATAATTTCTTTTCCAAAAGATAAAATAAAATAAAATAAAATAAAATAAAATAAAATACAATGATTAAATTAAAATAAAATAGAGAATTAAATGAAACAATTAAATCACTTTATTATATGTTAATTTTTGTATCAGTCCAAGCCATAAAGATTCTTATGCAGCTATTTCAAACCAGGACATTTATCATGAACCAGGAATTCCTTAATTCCCATGATTCGTAATAGGCTCAATAGTAAAAGAACGCTGTTGCAATCACTTGCAATTGGTATCAAATGACAGAGCATGTGTCATGTAATTGTACGTTATGAATCTATCCTGAATGCGACTATCTTAAAGTGGAATAGTTCGATAGACAAACATAGTAATGGGAAAAAAATATATTCCCAAGGTATCAATTTAAGTAGAGTAATTCTTATCGCCTATAAAAAAGAAAGTATTAGGAGGTATTCAAAAAATACATGTGAAATATTTCTAGCTTTTTAGTAGAGCTCCTGATTTCAAGAATTTCATTTCATTTAAGACTTTTGAATGCCTTCTCTCAAATCTTTTGAAACTGAAAACAAATTAATTTTACGACATATTAAGTTAGACTATATTATTTCATGAATTTCCTTTGAAAGATATAAATATAATTATAATGGTGAAATTTCCTGACGATGATAAACAAACAATGAAAGTTGAAAAACAAATTAATATCTCTAACTGGAATAATCAAGTATTTAATTTAATAACACGTTCTACATAAAAGAAATACGATAACTAAATGATTGATGTGTTGTGCAATAGCAAAACAGATGTCGCCTCTATTTTTAATGTCGTAACCGTAAATAAAGTTTTCTCGAAAACACGCTTAAAATATATCTATCTTATTTTACACATACGAGCGTATCAACTTGCAACAGATAGGACGAAAACAATTATTCTTTAGATAATCCATGGTATTTAAAATACAAGTAGGATTTAAAATATCATTTGTGTATGCCTTTGATTTTTATCAAATTTATCAGTGTAAACACATTTGTTGTTTGATATCAAGTACGCGTGTACTTAACATATGTACTTATTTCTTCTTGTTTAAATTGAATACACGTAAGCGGACAAAGAAATAGACGAATTAATCGTTATTAGATCTATAGTACCATTTACATTTTGGAGCATTCTCTGATTTTCATAAATATAAAGATTTTTGTACACGTATTTTTATTTCATTGAAAATTTTTCGCATTCATATTTTTCGAATGGAGAATTGAGATTTCGATAAAAGTATGTCTTATCTTCTTAACAGTGTAACATATATATTTTATTGTTGATATTTTATAGATTTTTGCATTTTTGTCCATGCTTATTTCGTTTTTTCCCATTTTCACGTGCCATAAATTTGTAAACATCTACAGTCTATTTATAATTTCTATGTCAAAGTATACTCAATTAATGCTTCATTACTATATAAAGATAATAGTATCAGTAAAATGTTACTTTATACGTAAATAGAACGAGGTTCATTTATTTTAGAGTCTAAAGGGTATTCTAAACTTTTGAACGAGAGTGTGTCTTGCCTAAGTATTACTTATTTAGAAATAAATTGTATTTTACTAATTAAACTATACTGAAATACTATAAGGCCATTAAGTTCTCAAGCTGAAAAAGATTTAGAGATTTTACATTTTCTTACCATGAATTAGTTAATAATACTCAAGTCAAAATATGTGACTGACTTCTTTGTAAGGAACTCTTTGATACTATCGAGTGTAAGATGTGACAATTTTAAGTAATTGGTGTGCAAAAAATTCCCATCTTAAAAAAAGTACAATCAGTTTAGATATACCTAGATTATCAGTTCAGATATATCATCAATCTATAGTATAGGATTATCGACAAGGGTCTTATCAATCTGTATACAGGGTGAGTCTAGTATAAGTGAAAAGGGAAAAATGTACAAAATTGTATTCAAAGAAATTATATACATTTCTTCTTATCCTGTCTCATATACACAATTCACTTTCCCTATACATTTTAACTTTTATGAGGCGGAATCAGGTTTTTCTGGTTTGCAAGGTCATCATATAAAACCACTTTTAAATAAAGAGATCCAAAATCAACTGCAATCAATGACAAGCATGCATCGGGTACAGTATTGTGACAAGGTCAGGTGGAATCCTTCTGTTTTGCATATATGGTCTTTTAAATCAAACCCAAGGGAAATAGTCATTTTAAAATACTCGTTCACATTGTGGAAAACCTGTTTGCAATCTTGAGTCATAACAAAATCGAAGCCGCGTCGACGTCTGTCTTCAGGGCTTCACTTTTAAATTAAACTAGTCATTTGTATGCCGGAAGATAAATGAACATGCAACAATGCTAATATAAATTTTATTAACATAGTCGAGATAATTGTTTTTGGAACAATACGTACTTTATCATTGTTGTCACATTTCATACTTCTGTCGTAACTAATTAATAAAGTATGTGAAAACTTCTGTAACAACAAACATTTTGCTGTTATAATGTAGATATAATTCTATTGCTATAAAAATAAAATTGTATTAATACAGTATTATAAGAACAAAGTTGAAATCTTCAGAAACTCCTCCACCTATAGAAAGAACATGTAAACTGCATATGTGTCCCTTTCAATTGTACAACTTTTGTATAAAAAGCTTTTTCATAGGATACATACTTTATGAGTTAATCTATATATACAAGTTATATGTACTACCCGATAAAATTCTTTTTTTAATTACAAATATGAAATATCCTGTGTTACGTAAATGATGTTCAGACACTAAAGAGACACTTATATACTGTTTCAGGGAGCCATACGATTACAATCCACTTCTGGTTAGCGCTCTCTCCGTGGTAAAGTTCAAGAGAGCCCCAATGGACTTGGTGCGCGTGGAGACCAGGAACCAGATTCTATTTTCATTTTTATCCATCGGCTGGGGCCTTCTCGCCGACATTGACATTGAAAGCGAACGTCTGCGTGTGATCGGCGGCCAAAGGTTTACCGTATGGAGCGTCGCACGTCTGATAGGGTTAAGAACGTACAAAGGCAAAGTGTCGTACTTGCCCAGCGATAAAGTACCGTCCGTTGAAAGTTTAGGCAATGGCAAGGCCTACAACGAATACGCGAAGGAGACACAGATATCGCATTCCAGGAGTTACGGTGACGATTTAGACCGGTAAATACTCCATTAATCACAATCATACATGAGGACCAGTGGCACGCGAGCCTGTAAACCAGTGATTTCCAACTGTTTTTTCATTTGAATATTCCTTAGCATCCAATTTTTGTTAATTGCACGCTTCACATTAGGAAAATGTTTGTATTCATCGCTTTATTTACCAGACTGCCTTTTCTACAAACCTATTTATTGTATTCATAGGCTTTTTAGTTTCAATGTTACCCGCTGTTACGTCTCGGAATAAGGGGAGGAATGCAAAAGAGAATGTGTTCAATTTAACCTTTAGTTTTATTATAAAGTAGAGAATTTGTGACAATCAGTTAAGGTGGCCTTACGCCAGCCACTTACATGTATCATAGCGCAGCGGACAACAAGCTGTCGCTCTATTCCAAACTATATGATGTATAGTTGTACAATTTTTAAGTGTATTGTAATTTTCTGGCCCTTACAAATGCTTCGCGGGAAAACTTCTTACAATATTAACTTCTTATAACGTGTCACTGAGCGTGCGATCTCTGAACTCAGAAATTCGGCTACGCGTGCAATGGTATTTATACTACTGTCTACTGCATTGTCAGGTGGAAGTTATGCAGGGGACTCCCTTAGTCAGGCGTTCCCACAGACTGTCGTGCTCTTCTTGGCTGAATTTTTTGGCAAGGAAATATTTTATCACTACCCGGTTCTCCGGTGTCATGAGCACCTGCTTATCTTGCCGGTGGGAACGTCTGACATCTCATCGTTGTCGTAGGTCGTAGCCGAACGTTTGATTATAATAAGCTACATAGGAGTAAGTGGAATAATCTAAATGACAAGAACAGTCGCACATAGTGATCGTCACAATAAGCCTTTTAGTTTCAATGTTTACCTGTTGTGTTGTTGGTCGTCTATATACAATGCTTAACATAGCTTAATTTGTTAAAGGATGTTGACACCTATATGTATTCGTTTGCTTTTATATAAAAATTACCGTTATTTACGAAAACAGTACCTTGTAGAATTAAAATATATACAATATTAAAGTGAGACAGCATATTTGTATGTTGCTTTGTTTATGTGTAATCAATTAAAGCGTAACAAAATTAATTTAAAACTTGTTCCTCAAGAGGTTAACTTTGGGAGACAGACAAGGTTTTTAACAAACAGGGTTTTTTACATACTTTTTAATAGTATGCCTTGGTTAATGTTAGTCTGCATTAATATATATATCTATTAACGCGGGAAGACCTCTTCTACAAAGTCGTGCACCAACAATGAAGCCACGATAACATCCATAACATCACGCTAAACCGACTTTTGAACCTTTATCGCGCCGAATGTTTAGATCTCGCCGATACCTTTATTCAGTCGCCGAAAGTGTTTATATCTCGGCGATATCTTTATTCCGTCACCGAAAGTCGAAGAGACGCGTAGATGACCGCATGTGCACCTTTATTGCACCCTATTAAATAAACATTCTGATTGTACACATGTGTATACCACGACGCCTCAGGTCACGACCAAAGGTGACCTTCAGATACGCAGAACAAGCCCCATTGTGGTCTTGTGAAGTCTGAGGATGGGTGATCAAGCCAACCCCAACTAATAGCCATGAATCGCAATGCCAAACTAATTCTATCCGGAACAAGATACATAATACCTTTTAACTTATGATTAGACTACGAATGTTATGCAGTATATCATATAGAAATATGAATAATATATTTACATTTTACATTTATGTAAAATGAATTATTATTGTACTAATTTATATAATATATTCTGCATACCTTTTGCATATATTTTCTATATTAGCATTGGTCTACTTATGACTATTGTTTAATTGTACTTGTTAGCGATCATCCATGCCATCACTAGTCACTATTTGTTTCATTTGAATCTTAATGTTTTTCATTATTATTTGAATATTAATCAGAAGTTGCAATGTTCCATAAGGCTTTCACACATACACCTCGTAAGTGTCCGTACTTCGCATTCATTATCCTTCTTCTACTCTTCGCTTAGATATTTGTTATCTGCCTATATCATATAATTCAGTTATTGTAATGATACTTTTTATAACTGTAATGTATTCTGGAGGGGCCTAATATTTGCACATTTGTTTATTTTATGGTAATAGTAATTTACTGTTTTTGTGTGTGTCATATACAATTATATAAGTAACATAAGTATGGATATAGGCAACTTGTATTGAAATGTATGTTACTTATAAGTAATAATTGTATACTTACACATCAATAACATACATAATATAATTATATGTAATTTATGTTACAACCTCCATTTTGGATCCACTTTAGAAAATGTTGTTTGATCAAAATTTATCTTATGAAATTGACTAGTTTAGCTCACGAAAAATTCACATGATCGAAAGATGGTATGAAAAAAGTTTTTAATTTCCATGCAATGAAGAATTTTTCTGTTTTCTCTATCGTCAAATAAATACTGTATATTCACTCGTTATTTTCTACAGTTTTAACTCAAAAGGAGAACATATAATTAATCGTCATATCTACATTTCTTTGTTTAGATGTAGCAGGATTAGCGAATCGAAAAGTTTCCACGACGCGCTCGACGGAGACACTGCTATTTTGGACGGAACCTTCGATGGCTGTGAAGATAATGAAATCATAAGTGAAAGTATTACTCTAGAAACGGAAGCGGAGAGAAGACAAAGGCTAGATAGCTTTTATTCCGTGACCTCTGCAAGGTCGACCTACTATAGTGCGGGTTCAATTTCTAGTTATCACAGCATCGACGAGCCTGATAATGGGGAAGTCGGTGAGTTTCCATCTCACAAGCGAAGATTTTCTATCTCGACGAACAATGTTCTTTTTTTTTTTCATAAATTCAATTCAACGTTGCAATCAACACTATGTTGATTTTGACTTATCTGTTTTTTAAAAGCATTGCTTAAACGAGTTCTATTTATATCTGATAATAGTCATAGACACGCGAGCTGTTGATCCTCACTTCAAGATTTTGTATCAAATATAATAGTTTCAAATCACACGCTTTTATCAATGACTGAGAAACTGGAGCACAGTATACAGGACGGGTCATTTAAACGGGTCACTGGAATAATTTGTCTACTTCTAAAGATAGGAAAGATTGTTTGGCACGGAATTGTTTGATTTCATGGAGGGAGTAGTGACGGTTTTGATTTGTTCTCTACTTTTTTTAATAGAATAATATAAAGTGTGTTTCGTTTAAAGCAGAATGACTAAGTATCTTATAAAAATGAATGGATCTATTAAAAAGCTATGATGAAACTATCAAGCAAATGTCTTTACAACAATTATTTGGTACAGAGGACATTATATGGAGTACTTACTTTTTTTAAATGAAACGTTATATGTTTTTATGCATAATAAGATAATATTTATTTAGACAAATTCATCAACTTATCATACGAGGTCATTTATTGTAATATAAACTTTTAAATTGTTTTTAAATCTCCCCACGAAATTATAACGAAATTATTTACTCTATGTATTGTCCCCCCTTTGAACCAAATAACTTTCGTGAAATCATTTTCTCGGTACATACTTTTATCCTCTCACGAGATACTTAACTACCCTGTGTTAAATGAAACACCCTGTATATGCATTTATCTTGTAATAGAGGCTTGTACATTGAGGTTGAACGAAAGGAACATTACCGCTACTATGACCTCGATAAAATAAAACTTCTGTCCCAAACATTCTTTCTTATCTTCAGAAATAAATAAATAGTTCAAATAACCTATTTTTCATCCCCTATTCTGTATAGTTTTGTTCATTAAACTTCAAGTTTATTTTGCTGTATACAATTTTTCGACGGATTCTCATGTAATGATACACGCGCGTACAAATATGTTTCTAAATATCAAAGTACTGGGTTTAACAAAGATTTTATCCTGCAGAATATTAATTATAAAATCTAACAACAGCGAGATCGGTATGATAACGCGTTGAACTGCGAAGATTTAAGTAACACTAAGATCATTACTATTTCATCTCTGCTTAAGATAATAATTCGTATATAATTAAGATGCAGAAAACAACATTAACCAAATTATGTACGGTCCATCGTCGAGGTTGCCTGCTTTGACCGCAGAAGTGCCAAGTTCCTGGACGCAAATTGAGGGTAAGAAACTATAAACATAGTTAGTAACCGCTATGCGGCTTAAAATTAGTAAAGAATCGATCGTTCGACTGATTTTACCACTGAGTAAGATATTCAACATTTTAACTGTAACCTAAATTATACCATACCATGGATAACTTTGCTATGATAAATATAGTAACATATTAGCTAGAGTGTAGTATGATAAGGCATGATGATGTCGGTAGTAATAGCGTAGAAGTTATATTAACCTTACAATTAGTATAGTAACTAACTGTAGGAATGTTAATTATTTATAGTATAGTTGGAATGTAGTCTATAGCTAACCATTTTATAGTAAAACTATAGCGCATTTTAACTTTTCCAAATACAGAATTTTGTTCAATCCTATAGTATTTGATTAACTTTTTTAAACTCTTCGGAAATGAGATTCCTCATTTATTTTATGCAGTCTTATCATTTTATTTTATTAAGCGTTTTGTTTATATAGGCTAGTATATTTATATTGTTATTTATTTATATATCGCATGGAACAGGCCAATCAAATATGTTTACTCTTGATAGTACATAAAATGTCCTGGACAAATCTTGCTTAGTTTTAAAGATGATGTTATCTAATGTCTAATTATTTAATGTCTGTTATCAGTATGTTTTTTAATGTCTAATTGTTACATAGATAGAAGTTTAAAGATTTAACTAAAAGTTTAAAATATTTGATTGGATGAAATAGATAGAACAGTGATAATTATCTTATTTACACGTACACTCGTAATTAGACACTGCAGGTGTTGAAAATATTAGTCTTGAGCGTTGATGCATACTTCAATGTAATTCGATATGAACAATACTGTATAGGGTCTATATCGCCAAATCTAACATGATTAGATAGCCTTTCAGCATACAAATGCAATGCTTATCTCATAATTTATGTATCAACTTTTTCAAATTCCGTATAAAGTGTTATGAAAGTTTGAATAAATATATGAAGCCGTAGTGTAGTCACTACCGTGTCACAACTTATTCTTAGTAGCATTCATGGACACAGACATGTTTCTTTACATTATGTGATTAATACTGTACAACCCTAGGATGATAATATTAAGGTTGGAGAAAATAATGTTTTAACAAAACAAGATTTGCCTTTTTTTCTTATCTATATACATAAACAAATTATTCAAGTGGCCTGTCTCAAATGCCTTGCCCTGTATCATTTCTACAAATTAGTGACACAGTGAATTAGGCGTATATTTGTTTCAAATGGGATTTCGTATAATTCACGTATAAATTCGTGACTCGTTAAATCACAAATCCTTCAGTATGAAAACTTCCCTAAAATAATTCTTAATCTTTATCATACCATCATAATCGGAGTAAGCATGCAAATTTGTCTACATTGAAACGTACAAGTTAAAATAAAGATGTCATAACTCAGTGAAACAAGTACGTGTATCCTCGTTTACTGCTCACTTGATTCATACGCGTCTTGTACATGCTAATACATATGAAGTAAACGGTTTATCCGCCCACGATCCCAGATGTAATATCACAGTTACATTTGTTTCGGGTTGGACACGGCGCAGACGATAAGGACAAACACTGTTACTCACCATGACCTGCATTTGGACATGATATACACGACCATTAAAAAGGTCTTCTATACATTAGATTAGTAATACTTTTATGTCATATTATGTGAAGTATGTTAGTGCAAAAGAATTTTTCTACTATATTTTTAACCGACTTCGAAAAGGAGGACATTACTCAATCCCACATGGTGTTGTTGTTGTTTTTTTTAAGCAGAAACCGCCGCATTTTATTTTGTTTGAAGATTTTGGCAAGCACAAAATATTTTTCATTGCATATATAAATAATTTCCTTTTGTTTATTTTGAAATTACGTATTATGTTTCTAAGAAAAATTACGCAAGTATGATTTATTTATGATCTTTTGGGTTAAAATAACACAACGTTAAATAAGTTCTAACGAGGTGTATCGGAGATCTTTTTGAATGACTGTATAATATCGGAAAATTGAAACTTAAAGAAATACAAGTATAATATCCAACTTTTATATGATAATCGATACGAAAGGAAATTATAGTTTTTAATATTTAGCTTAGATCGATAGAAACAATATTGCGTTTGTGACGCAATGAATTCACTTGAGAAGCAAATAAATGTCGTTTGTATTTTGAATTTCAGGGGAGTTTGTTATGGTTCATGCGGCGTATCAGTCACACTTGGGCCAGGATTATTTATTCGCGCCTCGTGCCAAATTGGCGGATGGTCTTATTTGGCTCATAATAGTTAAAGCCGGAATCACTCGAGCCAATTTACTCCAGGTAAATAGCCCAATTAAAACCAATATTTCCGGCTCTTGCATTTTCTATCAACGTACACAATCAACAACATATAATTATTCAACGATATTCTTAAAAAATAAAAAATAAAAGAGATAAAATAGTTAATGCTTAACTATTAGTGATGTAGTTTCAATTTCATTATTGTTGTAAATACTCAATAGTACTACAAATACTATGACATATAATATTAACCCTTTGCATTCCATTGGCGCCACTACACAACATAACTCAGTTCAACTTGTATTTATAATAACGCAAACCAAGTTAACGAGATGCACGAATAAAATTTAAATTACAAGCATGTATAAATATGTAATGGAAGGAAGAAAACTTCCATTTGTAAGTTCATATTTATTCAAACAAAATTATTTATTGTGCCTGTTAGTTCCTGTTGGGTTTAAGTAGTGGTACACATCTGACACGTTCTGGCATCGACATGATACCCGTAAAGGCATTTCGAATAGAACCAGAGGAAGACGTAAATGGTCATATAACTGTGGATGGAGAAAGAGTAGACTATGGACCCTTGCAAGCTGAGATATATCCGTCTTTAGCATCGGTAATGTCTCCTTGATACAAATCAAGGCAGTCAACTTTATAAAGAACTAGCAATGGAATCAAATGGTACAATCCTAGAAGTTCAATTATATGGTAGCAGCATGGTCCAGGCGACAATACTGTATTAATACATTAATATGTGCATTCGGGGTTGGTACTTTAGTTCAAAATCGTGATAGGTGTATATTTATAGACTGTGAAACTAATAAAAAAAAACAACATTCCACGCAATGTACTCGTGTAACTATTATTTAACGAAGTCGAACGTAACATATAGTTTGTATAAACTCGATTGTTATTTCATAGAGTTTTAATATTTATATATGACATCGTCCAATAGTGCTCGTTAACTAGTGACTCTCGATTAAATTTGTTAACTAAAAGCGTACCGTTTGGACAGTTTCCTGTATAGCGCACAATAGTGTAACTTGAAACATTCCACAGGCTTCGTGCTAGTTAGCAAGTACTATTGTTAAGCTTACAGCGTAAGGGTCGGATTGTATGTTTTCCTTCCTATCATTTGCCAGGGAAGGTCATTGAAACTTGACAAGTTAATAATCACTTTCGTGTTCAAGAGTATTAGGTATCTATAGAATTTCAAAGTATTTCTGTTAGAATTTTGGTAAATCTGAACCTCAACATATAAGAAGTAGAACTGAGGAAAGATAGTGATGTAAATGTTATGATTTGGGATTATCACTGATTGGAGACATGATTTGCAATAAATTTAGAGTGATTTAAAATTAAATAGTGGTTCATTGGGAACATGTACCACACGTGTCTAATACTTTTGAACACGCCTGCATTTCTGAAACAATTGTATAGTGTTAATACATTGTGGCTTCCAATATTAGCGCAGCACAAGGACTAAAATAGATCAGAAACAATTTAACTTTATACAAATATTCTGATTTTGTAGCTTAAATGCGTTTTATCGACCAGTGGGTTGTATTGTTGCTTGGTCTAATGTCAGCGATACAGTGTTGATTTCACAGCAATAGTGCTCAAATCTTATACATTGAGCAAAGCGCATTTACTATTAAAAACGGCCGTCTTTCCGTACAAGTTAGAGTTACTAGCTTCTCATCTTACGCTCATATTTAAAGTATTTTTTCAGAATACTGTTAACTACTTTATCTGATATAAGAACATATCATGTTTATTAAAGTAGTATGGGAAACGTTAAAGATGTCATACCTAAATCATAAGAGCATGGTTATTACCTATAGAAGATTTGTAAATAAAAGAATGTTTAAAACGCAAGAGAACTGTTTGATATTGTATTATGGAATATGAGAATAATATTATAATGAGGTAATTGCGAAGTTATCTTATACTGTTATTGAATTGTGCTTTCATATTGAGAGGAAGAATTTTTCACATTAATTCATCAGATGTTTTTTTTTTTCTCGACAACCGTTGTAAAAAAGAAATAATATAATCTTCGGTTAATATACGACGATTATAATACACATAATAATTATGATTTGTACAAATAACACTGTTTATAGTTATGGCGTTATAAATCTGTGCCAAGGGACATGTAAAAATGATTATACTACTCAAATGTTTTTCAATTTTTATTTCTATCATGCTAAATCTTATGTTTATACCTACATTACAAATTTCAAACACTTTCACATTCGAAATATTATAGACTTAATAGATTGCGAAATACAAGTATGTATGTTTATGGTCTTAATTCGTATGCTATATGGTATGAACATAAATTGTTAATTATTACAGCTCTCTCAAAGCATCAGAGAATTGCGATACTTTCGTTGATAACAATTGTAAACAAAAAAAAATATTTGGGCAACCCTATTTTATTATTCTCAATCACAGAAAGTGCAGCTAATAATTCTTGTTTAATACTTCTAAAGAAGACTAATTGAATTGTTCATAAGTAATATTGTAAATTGAATCTGTATACGACATTATGTGATATGTATTTAATTTACGGCTCTGTAAAAAATTTTAATTATTTAATTAAAAAGAAATATTTAACGGCACATTTGTTTAAAAAATGATATATTGTTGCTCAAAGTATTATTTATCATTTTTGAAATCCAAATGTATATAATTCTTCCATTAATCTTGACTTTAACAAAAGTTTTTTAGTATAATAGTGGTTATAGATGATAATAAATTTGTTGACGTAACAAAGTTATTAATTTTCGAGTGTCCCAAAAAATATTGCACAATTTTAATTTTAACTTAAATCGTTTATATATGTACATATTTTGCATTTGTTTATTTGTATACTTTCACATCATTAGGAACAAAACTATAATTTAGCAAATGTGTAGTCCAATCCCATTATCACATACAATCATCATCTCATTTGGACAATGATGCATTTTTGAGCAAGAGATAAAAAGAGCAACAATAAAACGTATTTTTTGTATTTAAAGAATTCTGTTATAGTTATTGTTTGATAAAGCTTTAAAATGCGCAATATTTTTCAGGGGATCTAAATAGTTTAAAGTTACATGAAAGTTATTTATGTACCTTACAATTGCTCAAAAATATGGTGTTGAAGGTAACATTATAGAAGATATAACATTGTATCAATGCAAAGATGAGTCAATAACAACAAAATTTACATGTTACTCATAAGAATTGTTATAACTGTAAAAATGTTAATTATTAATCATTTAGAAATCTGTATATAAACTTAACACAAAAGTTAATCAAAAATTGATAATTAAGAACTATTATTTTTATATATATCAAGTTTCTACATTTTGTTCATTTATTAATTGCTCCTATTTAATATAAAGAAAATGTTATAATTCTATCTGATTTTAAATACAAGTTCAATTATGGTATAGAGTTACATTAAAAGCACAAATATGGAGAATCAAAGAATGTTTAGAAAAGAAACTTTTAGTTTTAAAAATCAGAAAACTTGAATAAATATTGATTGCAAAGAATACGTCTACCCATATAGTACATATATACAGGTTGACCCATTTTTAATTTTCCTATGTTCTCATCTCTGGACTTAGTAACTTCTTATATAAGATGTTTCAGGTTAGCCTCATTTCATCCAATACGAAGTAACTATCGAAATTTCGAAGCGACTTTCATGCCGTAAAATGAAATGAGATTTGTTTCGTCATTTTAGATTTAGAAGAATATGAAAACAGACGGGTATAATTATTAAACATGAGAAGTTACTAAAAGTATGTAGGATGATTTTGAATTGTATTCTTATTTTCTTAGACATAATATACACAATGACATTGGCTTATGTTTTCGATAATTACGAAATCTGAAACAGTAAAAAGAATTCTATTCTTTAAGTTGAATTTTATTAATTTCCCCAAGAATCCATGCAAATCTCTGATTATACGTGACGGTGTATACTCTGATGCATTATATTTTTTCTTTGTCCAAAAGTGATTTTTAATAATATATAGCATAGTAAAGGATAAGTTCTTTTCATGTAAACACTGTCGTTTTAATTTAACATTTTAAATAGGATTCGATTTTCAGACACAAAAAGTATAATGCTCGTAAGTTATTTAATTGTTTATATATTTATTTATCACTTATCGTATAATATTAAGGCTGCAAACAGAGTGAAAAAGAGTATATACGATAACATAAAAATGAATCGGTGTACGATAGATTCTATAAAATTTTGACGGCAATGTTAGTGTAAAATTTGCTTTTACACTATCATGTCTATGATTTCAAGTATCATTTGAAAATTGAAAGAAAGAAGAAAGTAAATATTTTGTTACTGTACAGATACCCACAGCCTTACAATGGTTTGCAAAATATAACAGTATAAAAAAGCAAAAAATTAATATAATTAATTTGTAAATACGTATCATTACAGTAAAAATATATTAATATAAACTATGTATTCTTTTTTTAAACTTTTAAAACTTATAAAAATAAACATGTAGCAATTACTGTTATACATATACACAATTATAACATATCTTTGCTATTAGCACTCTATTTGCAGCTCGGCGAATTTAATACACATCGTGTAAATCTTATTACTTTTTTTATCATTATTACCTGTATAAAAGATGATGCCACGAACATTTTAAATAAGCTTACTGTTGTTACTATTATATTGCATGGCATAGTTTGTAAACATATTCTAAAAATTACACAGTAAAATTTATTCAAATTCAACAAATTAATGGGATCTCTAATCATGCATTACCTTGTCTTAGAAATTAACATGTAAAGAACGTATCGGTGAAGTTATTATGTACTATGATGGGATTCTTGTATTTCCACAGGATCTGAGTTTTCTTTTGTAATCAGTTAAGAACAATGGCTGTGAAAAAGATGCAGAGACACACTCCTTAGAGGCCATGCAAACTGTAATTTTTGTATAAATGTATTGTATTTAGTATTTAAGGCTTGCAGTTATTCTAGAATTGAGCTGTTTTTTTAACCCGTAGGAGCATTATTTTTAAATCTGTCTTTCAAAATTAAAGACACCTAATTTAGTTACCTTGGATACTAGTGGCAGGTCATAGTGATAAGCAACGTAAAACGTTTGTTAAAAGCAATTTAAGTGGCAGACAAAGAGAATGTTTTCTTAAGAAATCCAAATTGAAATAATAAAGAATATAACGACATCGAATATGTCATTAACGTGTAAATCACAACTCCTGATAAAATGGAAGTTGGTTCTCGATTCACGATACATTAAGTATCGATTCAACATTCACATAACTGACTTACCTACAATCCTAACATTTTGTACATTAAAACTTTAACATTATTTCACGCGCAGATATAAGTTAAAAGAAAATCTTTCTCACAACGCGTTAAATAACTAAAACAAAGAACTCATTAAGATATAGCAAAGAATTTAATATATGCTGTTGATCTTTTCTTCAATTCCGTGTTATGTTTAATTTGTCAATAAAACTGACAATCCGGTACTGAAAACAATTAACTCGTTATACTAAGAGCGTCTAAATTAGCCAGCAAATCTTTGACATCATCCTGAACTTGATCGGATGTATTAGACAGAGACAAACGCGAGTAAAAGCTGCTCAAAGTTTCGACTTTTTCATGGGCATCTTTCTGCTTTTGCAAATATGCCAATAACATATTAACTATATTATGGACTTCTTCTTTGACTCTTAGCATACTCTCTCCCTTACAATTTTGTAATAATTTCAATTTTGTCTGTGCTAATTGTAACGGATTATAACCATGTTGATCCAAAGATAAGATATCTGCTCCTGCTTTTAAGAGCAGTGTAACCACTGATATTTGACATGTCACAGCTGCTAAATGTAATGGAGTGTTGCCTACACAATCACATTGATTAGGATCTGCGCCATGTTCTAGTAATATCTGTACCATTTCGGTGTAACCCCTGTTGAAAAAAAAATGTATAAATTTGTTCATGATCTACTGGAATCCTACAAAAAATAACTATAAATTGAAAATATCCGCATAATTTTTTGTTTTCTCAATAAATAAAAAATGTAAAATATTCTATAATCCATATAGATGGTGTTCTTCTTATAAATTCGTAAAATTGATCTTAAATATTAAATACTATAAGTATCATTGAAAAGAAAGAAATTTTATTCAAATCAAAATTTGTTAAATTTACCTGCAAGAAGCAAAGTGTAGAGGAGTCCGTCCTTTCGCATCATGATTGTTAGGTGATACGCCACTGATTAAAAGTCTTCTCACCATCATAGTATTGTTTATTGCTGCTGCGAGTCGCATTTTGCGTTCGATGAAAGGATCAATACAAGTGACATAATGACGAGTTCTGAATGATTTGCAAAATCTCCTCTTTTTATGATAATAATATTCTTAAAAAAAGAACATAAATCACTATAGAATATAAATAATAATTAAATATAAGCCTACATAATTTATATGAATCACTTACTGCTTTTTAACAGTTCCATACATATTGATAGTCTATCAACATTGTACATACGAGGAAATCCAAACTCTAAAACCTATAACAGATTAAATATAATCATTCAACTCACGATCAAATGTAATGCATATATAACGAATTTGAGAAAAAATAAAGTCAGGAAGATATATTTAAAAAGGTAAGCAGTGACAAAAAGTTGTTTATAAACAAAAAAGGCTAGAAACCACTACTAATCTTGAATTTACTTAGATGCATTTGGTCCTACACTTGGAATTGAATCACACTAAAACAACACTTGTTATTGTTGTGATCTGACATATCATTATCAATTCTACACAAACCTAATTAACAAATGTTATTAAACGGTAACGTGTAAAT